ATACTTCAGTATAAACCAGCTTGGTGGTTTTGAGATCGAGAGCATGTGATAAAAATAAGAGGGAGATGGGGTGGGATTTTTGCGAGGAATGAAGGTCAATGATGGAAAAATTGGGGTTTGGCTTTGATGAGAGAGAGAGAGAGAGAGAGAGAGATGTGATTGTGTGGGGGATGGGATGGATGGGGCTTTGAGAAAGGGTGGGTGGGTTTGAGAGAGAGGCCTGATAGGCATAATAAAAAAATTCAAGTTGGAAGAATTTTTTTTGAATGCCATTGTGGCATGAAATGGAAAGTTCTTTGATTTGTATCAGAAAGCCTAACGATATCCAAAATGCCTCCAAACCCATGAGAGAATTTTATTCGGAGATTATCATTAAAAAAACTGGCAGATTTGGGTACATCAAAGCTGCCCGCAGTCTTGTGCTCCTATGTTTCAAAATCTGTAACAAAACTCTTTGCTAAAAATAGCCAATGAGGCCACTGTGGCATAGACATTTTATTCAACAATTTATTTTGTTCTTAAAGCAACTATTGTTCCTCTCTAACCAAGTCAAAGGACAATCAATGGAGTTAGTCTTCCACAGTAGCAATTCCTTCTCAGGCATAAGGGAACCATGCCATTACAACAGTAGGGCCTCAACTAAGGGAAACACCACCCTTCTTACGCCAAATAGGTATACGACAAAGGCTCGGTTTTGACCTAGTTCTTTTATGGCCTTGAGAATTTTGTCCTCCAAGAAAGGACATTCAAGCCAAGTCGCTAAATCTGAGGGGATTGATCGGAAAGACAAGTTGGCCATCTGCAGCCTTGGCGCAGAGGGGGTGGAGAGCGACCTTGTGAAGGACTCTATGATAGCGTTTTCTATTAGGGGAGGACTATGTGATCCCCAACTTTGACCTGGGACATAGTATTCTCTCGCCATTGGCAGTTAGCAATCTTGTGGATGAAAGCGGTGTTTTGATCACTACATTTGAGCCACTTGACTCTCGAACGTTTAGACCGGAAGATTTCCTTCTTTTGGGGAAGAGTTTGCTAGTCGATCTTAGATTTATTCTGAGAAGTTTTTCTTTTGTAGTTAGTGCTCTACTGTCTTGAACGTGGTCCCAGTTTTGAATTGAGAGGAGCAGCTCTGCCTTTTGGGATTGAAAGTTGCCAAAGAGTTGGTGACGCCAACTTTTTAGGGAAACCTTGAGGAACTGCAGCTTGTGCTGGAGGTGGAAGCTGGCCCATCCTTGGGTAGAGAGGGAGAAAAAGTTCCATAAGGTCGTGATCAAAGAGCTAAAGTTAGGCTCTTCGAGCCAGGCTAGTTCAAAACGAAAAAGGAGTGGGTCCTCTGGTAACGTACTAGGTGTCGAGAAGGATAGGCTTGTAGTTAGAGGTGGTTTTGGGAAGGGCTAGAGCGTGTGTTCTAGGGAAATCAATGCTCCAACCAGGGCTGGTAAGGAATCTATAAAGTTTGGAGAGTGAGGGGGAGGAGGCGTGGTTGGACCATGTGAAACTGGCCCCTTGGTGTCGAATGTCGATGAGATCATTCCCGAAAAGGGAGTCTGATAAGTCTGACATTCCCTGGGAGATTCTGCTACTGGAATTTCGGGATTGAGATCCTTATTAGTCAAGGTTTGATATCCCTTGATGAGGTGAGTGAGCTCCATCATGACTCAAGCTATGGGATCGCAGGGTGAGATTCCAAGGGGTTATCGCCATTTCCCAACCAAGCTCCCCACATCTATGGTCCGTACATGCACGGGAACCCTATGGTCCTAAACCATATCTTTTATCAGGGTTTAAATGTTTGACACCTCCTAGGATTCCTGTTCAACAAGACAAATAACCCCCTATCCTCCAACATCCTCATTCCATAGTTTGAGAGGCCTCTAATTTGGACTCAAATGGAACAAAACAGCCTTGCTCGGTGGCTTTTTGCGGATCATCAGCAAGGAAGCTCTCCAAACTCTGGAAGCCAAAATCTCCAACCCTAAGAGATCCAGAGTCTCTTGGCAAAAAGTCCCTACCAGGTCGCAAATTACTCGTACTCTGGTGGGTATTCTCCCCCCAGTGCAACCAAGCCTGCTGAGAGTTTAACCTCTTTGAATTGGGTTCGAATTCCCTAATAGAGTAAGGGTTTGTTCAGAATTTTGGCTTTGATACTACAATGATGTGGCAAAAATAAGAGAATACAAGAAAAAATCCCCAAAGAGGGGGAGCCCAACCACCATATTTCAAACTCCATTGCTATAGAACTCGAAAAGTTTCTTTAGAATCAATATCGATAAAAATTGAATCCCCTATTGATTCTCATGGATGTTGCTGAACACGAGGATATCTATGCATCTTTAGTTAAATTTTATTTTACCAATAATTCTTGCAAGAACAACTTCCATCTCTGTAATGGTGAAAAGGATTTGTATCTCTACTAACGATTTCCCTACCTGTAATACCACATTTGTACTTGATTTCATTGTGGCATTGTGACCTGTACTCTCAGGGGATGGTGCACTAAGGTTCTCACAGTGATATTAAAGAGCCCGCTCCTATTCTTCCTCCACCACATCACAAGGGCCTTTTAGTATATTAGGATACCAATAAAATATTATTAGGATGCCAATAAATGTCATGCATTTTCAAGAGGCTTTTATTGATTAGTCCGTTGGGTCTTTTGTTGCAGATACGCTTTCAAGTGTCATCGAAAATCAGAAGCTGGAAGAGATACTGTTTATCCTGTAAATGCTATTGCCTTCCATCCAATGTAAGTCTCTCTCTCTCTCTCTCTCTCTCTCTCTATCTCTCTATGATCCACTATGCAAGACAAAGCTCGATCTCTCCATAAATTTACTGAATTATTATTTCTTGCAGCTATGGTACCTTTGCCACAGGAGGCTGTGATGGCTATGTAAACGTTTGGGATGGCAATAATAAGAAAAGATTGTATCAGGTAAATCATCACTTTCATGAACACCTCCCCCTAACTTCATGGCACAGTACAACCACAGAAATTTATCCATTGTTTCGTTATGTTTCAGTATTCAAGATACCGAACAAGTATTTCAGCACTCTCATTCAGCAGAGATGGCCGTTTGCTGGCTGTGGCATCTAGCTATACTTTTGAGGAAGGAGAAATACCGTAAGTCATCTGTACTCATTTAGCTAACTCCATGCAACTTCACCTCCCAAACTGCAGATTCCCCTCCCTTATAACAGATTCACCTCTCTCCCCCAATGCCAATTTAACTATCTAAATGCACTCTCTTCTCCGACTTGCAAGTACTAGTTCGAATTCAAAAAAATAAACCATGCCAAGAGTTGCTCGCTCTCCGATAATTTTATCAAAGTCCATATGATCAAGTGTTGCTCTCTCTCTCTCTGAAACCAAGTACAAAAGTTTCTCAAAGCCCATATATGCCATGTGGTTTTGTTTCTCAATTTGATCTGCTCTCGTGTATATGTAGAATATGATCTCTCTCTCAATGGTTATGTTTGCAGGCATGAGCCAGATGCAATCTTTGTGCGAAGTGTAAATGAAATTGAAGTGAAGCAGAAGCCCAAAGTGCTGCCCACACCACCACCTTAATAGAAGTGCGTAAATGAAATTGAAGAAGAAGCCCAAAGTGCTGCCCACACCACCACCTTAATAGAAGTGCGTTTATCAAGAAGCAATGGACAAGCATTCTTATATTGTTTAAGTTTCATACATGATGTTTGTCACACTAATTTTTTGACAACACTATTGACTGTATCTATCTGAATCCGGCAGGAGCTGCCTGTGGGCCGCCTCCTCGTCGCATGGCTTTTGATTGAGCGAGCATCTCATCATAATTCTGGCAAAATTAGAACACAAAAACTTGATCAATGGTTCAATGTATTTAGAGTCTACAATTGTATAAATTGCATAATTTCCTGGAAAAAGAAAATAAATTAATAGCCCCAAGGTACAACCCTGCAATATCACAACCCTGCAACTCTAGCTGTTACGCCTGCTTTCTTTTAATAGGAAACTGTAGCAAGGAAACTAGTTCTTGGGAATCTACACAAGAAAAAAGAAAAAAAAATCTTGCAACCCATGGCAAGGAAACTAGTTCTTGGGAATCTATATAAGGAAAAAAGGAGAAAAGAATGTTCTTGGGATCTGCTAGCAAATTGATTATCAAAGACTTTTTTACTGTTTAGTGTTAGCCTGCAATTCCGAGGCAAACAATGGAAGAAATTTCAAAAAAAAATCAGGAAAGTTAGAATGCGGAAAAGCACATTCTTAACAGGGATTTAGCATATTCAGACTGTGCATAGTGTAAGTTACTCAGATCAGTCTTTGATTGTTCACACTTACCAATGGACAATTTGGCAGATAAGCTGCTTCTCAGTAGGCAGTATGAACGCCTTAAAGATAATAGGGCTGTCATATTGTCCCTCCTATTGTCATGGGTTTGTATACAATGCACATCTCAACCATCCATTATTAAGAATGGACAGCTTATGAGCAGCATGAGTACCTTACAAGATGCTCAACAGTAACGCTCATTTTCCCATATGGTTTTGTATACGATGCAGGATTTGAGGTTTTATGCAGTGCATCACATCAGCCCAGCCATATGATGAAACAGTGGACAGCTAAGATGTCATTCCCCAACTGAGTCACAAATTTTTAAGGGGCCTACCCAATTTGCCCATTGTTCATAATTAATGATGTTAAATCAATACACGAGACTAGGAGACTTCAGAGTGCAGATTGAGAATTTTCTTCATTATTCTTATTCTTATTCTATCTTTTTGTTCTCACCAATTAAATCTTTCATCTACAGTGCATGATGAGTGATCAGGTGTATTTCCCAGCCTAAAACAGTGCAGTGGATGGATGAAAAGTAACATTATCATATTCGATTTGCTTGCTTTGGCCAAAATTGCTGAAGTCTTCGGCCTAAACCAAAGACAAGCAAATCACCTACCCACTAAATTGAACATGCTCGTAAAATTTTAAAGATAAAGTATAAGATGAGACTACTTACTTTTGACACAAGGAAGTCATACTTATTTCTAGCCATCAAATGTGAAATTAAAAGGCTAAGGGTCTATGATTGATTATGCACAATGCTCAATAAAATTTTTCTCAAACTTTGTGCATTGTTCTTATCCTCCTAATCTCAAATCTAATGGCTAGAGATGATCGTCACCTTCTTGTGCCACAAAAATTGATGGTCTCATAGAATAGATTCCCACTTATAGAAACAAGTAAAAGTACACCTTAAATATAAAATAATTTCAGAAAAGTGCTCAATAATATTCAACTTTAAGAAGTGCCTAGATATTTTTTAATAAATTTCTTAGCTTTTTTATTTTTATTTTTTAAAATACACCGAAAGACTTCACCCCAATCTACAGAAGAACAAAGCGCTTCCGTTTGACGGGCCAAAGAACCCTTTGCAGTGAATTTGGTAGCATTGACGGACAGTGCTGGAGAAAAAATGGGACCCATCAGAACAGGACATGTGGCCCAAGTGGTTAGGTCCTATCCGCTCTAAAAAGCTGTCCGCTATGGGACCCATCAGAACATAACAAGCGGCCCAAGTGGTTAGGTCCTATCCGCTCTAAAAAACCGTCTGCCAATCCATTGGATGGTGTCAGGCTGGGAAGTAGGTCTCATATCTACCTGATCAAATTTCTTGCATAATTTTTATCCTTTTTTTTTTTTAGTAAACTTATTTCTTTTAGTTTACTTTTTGTTTCTCTGTACTCTGGTGCTTTCTTTACAAAAGATCTACAACAATTCTCAAATTACCCCTATTCAAGGTTGGGAACACGAACAGCCATGGGCATTTTGGTTGACCCAACTTAAATTGCTCAAGTCAAATGACAATAATACCCTTGATTGTTCAAGGTAAATAACACAAAATTGTCAAATAATGATAATCCCCCTGGCTATTCAGGGATTGCAACACGGAACTCACCCTTTTTAATTGTAAGCTCTTCATCCAATTTCCCAACCCTCGACAATATTTGGGGTATTATTATAATTTGGCTTGACTGCTTAAATGTGACCAAATTACTAAAATGTCCCTAGTTGTTAGGGTTCCCAAAGAAGGGTAATTTGGAATTTGAAAATATTTTTAAAGGCACCTAAGTGAAATGAAACTTAAAATAAGTATTATAGTGGTAAATGGGATCATTTCCCCATCTTATTGATTTCGTAAGGTAGTTTGAGGATTTAAATTGATATTTTCCCAAAACAATACAAGGAATAAAATCAATAAAATGGGACTTTCCTTGCAAAAGTATGAAAATATATTTTTGAAATTCTTGATACACAATTTTTTAAAAAATTGGAGAATTTGTCAAATAAAAAACATCAAAGAAAAACAACCCTTTTTTCCATTCTTTTCTTAAGCTTTCATAAACGATGCAATTCGTTTTTTTCTCGATTGGCATAAACAATGCAGTTCTTTCTTTCAAATTTTATTTTTCTTATTTTCTTTTTATGTTTAGCAAACCAAAGGTAAGAATTGAACATCCTCTGAGGAACAACAAAGAAGCACATATCAAGAGGAAGAAAAGTTACCCGTTTCTCATATGTAACATCCTGTTGCTCGATTATCTTATCTGCAACTCCATACTCAATGGCCTCCTTTGGCAAGAAATACTTGGGACGCTGGATATCTTTTGCAATCTCTTCTTTGGGCTTCCCTATCCCTTTCGCCAACAACTCTAGGTAATACTCCGTATTTGCATCCAGCTCCTTTGCCTATAGACAGAATGTAGAATCAGAAAGGAAATGAGTGGAAGTCACAGAATTTGCAATGGGGAAATGCACAAAGATGCTCTACGGAAGTGTCAAAAATAGTATTTGTGTTGGGATTCATAATTTGCAAACGAAGAGAGAATTTAGAATTTGCAGTACCTTGATCCACATATCAATAACAGCTCCGCTTGATCTGTTGACTTTTGGCAGATATAATTTTGCTGGAGAGATAAAAGTTCAAAGATAAGAAAAGTTATGGCTAAAATTGTAACAAAAAGAAAAACGGGAATAGGAGATCATGGATAAATCAAGAAAAATACTATCTTTGAGTCTAAAGAAAGTGAACTTACTGGAAGCATTTGGCTGTAATCCTCGGAAACCCTTTGCACCAAGTGCAAGGAGCATGGCTGCCTGGCCATAGGCCATACCTACATTCACTGTGTAAACTTTGGACTTGACATACTGTGTCCAACAAGGTATAAACTTAAGTCACAAATCCAGTATTTTTCTTGTAACTGCACCGAATTATCACAGGAATCCGAAAAATAAGACATAATCGATGATATTGTTGAGGTTTTTGCTCTTATTCTTTGTCAATTGCTCCAAATTTCAGAACACACTAAGCATGTTGAAGATTATAATTTAGAAAAATAAACAAAATAAAATAGTTTTTCTTTTTTAAATATCTAATACTTTTTTAGATTTTTCTATTTTACAATTTTATTTTTATAAAAACTGCCGAGAATTACTTGAACAAAAGCCAAAACTATGAATTTCAACTAATAAATTCCATAATTCACCAAGTTAAAAGAAGCAATCAGCAGTTTAGGGTTCAAACATGAGAAAAGGGTGACTGTATAAGAGCTCAAAAACCAAACATATTCAGGATCGCGTTTAGGCAAAAGAAACCACATAACTGTTACGAGTTTCAAATCAATTGAGGTTTAGCAAAATATTAAGCTTACCGCTATGGAATCTGCAATGGCATATGCCTCAGTTTCAGAACCCACATTCTCCATCTTCTCATTCTGGTAATCAAATAGACCAATTATTGATATGGTTTCCAGAACTGTTTCAGTGAAGAACAGTGCTTCCAATTAAACAGCAAGAGGAAAAAGTGCTCAAATCAATATATGACAGAGAAGAAGTACGTGCTAACCTGTGTTCCGGGTGAATTTATGTAGAGATATATTGGCTTGGAGGCATTATCATAATCCAGCCACATGAACTGTGCAACAAGAAGCTCTGTCACCGCTGGAACAATCTGCATAGAGGAAGACAATTTGCAAGAAAGTCATACGAAATTGTGAAAAGGAGAGAGAACGTAGAGCTGAAGCATAATTTTTGGCAGAATGTTAGAGAAGTTTGTTGTTTGAATTTTTGGTCAATTTTGACAGCGCTTCAGCATCCTCATAGTCAAACTAAAATGAGCTTGGCAACAACATATAAGCGTCAGCCTCTATACCCAGAATTTCTGGAAAATATTGAATGAGGGAGCGAGGAAGGGAGAGAGATCCTATTTCAATTATGAATAAAAAATTGCACCATACTACACCATAAGTTTAATAACAAGATCTATTTCATTGTCTACCAAATTATGGGTAGGTCCAACCAAAGATGAACTTTAACTTGCAAAAAAAAAAAAATTGTAAGGAACACAAAGTAAATGATCTTACAGGCATTCCCAAGTAGACAATTCGAGCATCCAAGAGCAGAGAAGGCAGATCTGGTGGTGCTGCCCTAGGCCTCCCATAACCCCTCCCACCTCTGTACATACTCACACTCATGCTATAACGTGAAGGGCTATCCTTCATTCCCGACAAACTGTACATGCCTCCATTATCCATGTAGTTTCTTGCTGAAGAAATACTCTCCTGAACCAATATTTCAAACCAAAATGAGGATCTCAACTGTTAGATGAATTCATGGGACAGTATACTATGTTCAACGTAAATAAAATGAAAAATATAGGTATGGTCATAACAACTTCATGAGGTTATAATCAACAAATCAAATTGGTTGGTGGAATCTGCAGATAAATTAATGAAATTTTTGGTGGGACCCACTCCCTCCATCACTCTCCAACCCATTCATTGGATGGTGATGACCTCATGGTCATGAAGTTATAATGAACATATGGATCATAATATGAGGCCAATAAGAAAAAGGATTTGTATACAATGGTTGACTGAAGATTTCTACTGTTATATGACATCACGCAGCCGTCAGATGTCAATACCGCCACAGCTGAGGTGATTTCAGACAATTCTAGGAACCTAGAGTTCTAGAAGCACTTTAGGTTGGTCAAATAGACGACCAAGGCTCCTTGCGTAATAGAATGTATCATCAAAATAATGAAGCCCCACACCTCACATATAACAACATCAGGAAGAAACTATTGGATTGCCTTAAATACAGGCAAAGTGCTGAGGGAACAGATACATACTACACATATACATACCTTTCCTACCCCTCACAGCATATGGCACATACATACATTTTTTATAGGCAGAATGACATGAACAACTCCCACTCCATTCAGTATGCTTGAAAGCAATGAAAAGTTATCATTCACAAAGAGAAAAAATATTCTTGAGAATAATTATCATTTACAAACAACAAGGATTTCAGCTAATAATATCTCATACCATGCTATTTCTGCTATAAATTATAGTCTCTCGCAAATAGGTGTAACAAGATCTACAAGAGAAAATACAAGAAGGGAGTTGGTACTCACCAAACTTCTGACATCAATTAAGTAAGACTAATCAAAGCCCTTCAAAACAGGAAAAATAAGGCTCGAAAATTAACTACTTGATAAAGACGAAAAAGAGGGAATAGATTTCCTACCCACCACAAATCCCAAAATAAATATTTTTTCCTTTCTTTTTATAGATATAAGAAGCATAGTTTTAATATAATACACTTTTTCTAACCTGAAATTATTAGTTTAGTTGTTCCAAAAGGAAAATATAAGTAGGCAAATATGACACATCTCAAAAGACATCACCTCATGACTGACATTAATAAATTTACACCAACACAATGAATAAGCTGCCTGATAAGCAAATAAAACAAAATAAAATCATACCCCGATAACATCTGTCATTGGGGTCATGACCATATCATTTATGACAATTTATGACAAGCATTGATGAAGAGAAAGTAAGAACCTACCCACCGTAATGGACATGAATCCAAGCATTTGTCTCACTCTCTCCCCATGATACTATCATGATTTTGGTAGATGGTCATGACTGCAATGCCATCAGTATCCCGAGTCCACAGGATTATAGTGTAGTTTCCCAAAATCTATTTACAGTGGGAAATAACATCCAGAACTAATTCTCTTCATATAGTAAAATACTAAACACCCAATATATACAGATAACAAGTAATTCTCTAATGCATAATTCACTATAGATCGTAAACAGTGCAGCTAAAATGTAACTTGGCACATGAATCACTTCACCTCAGTGACCTTTCCAGATTGTCGATTGATGGGGCTATCTTCTGTCATGAACATGTCCATCTGAGAGGGAGTTAAGCCATAGAGGTATTGAGGAACATTCTTATAATTATCCATCACTGCAAAGATAAAGAGAAAAGTTATGAGAAATTCTCAAGTAAAATTGTAATAATATGGCATTTGGTATTGTGATTACAACAAAAGAGAAGAGATTTGGGAAATATTAAATAACGAAACATTTTCAAAAGCACCTTAAATTGACATTCCTTCTAATGAAAAAATAATACGAGATGGATATATGCTGATATACTAAAAAACATATTCACTAAGGCATGGGGATCACACAAAGCTATTGGATGTAAAATTTTGCATCAAATCTAGTTTCTATTTCTAAGACCTCTACAGGTACAAATTAAGACCATCAATAAATTGTTCGATAAAAGGGCAGTAGCTTGGGATAAAAAAAATAAACAGGAACTCAGAAAAATGAGAATCATTATTGACATGGAAGATTCCCTTTAGAACTAAGGACTTCAAAATCCGGGGAAGGAATGTTTGGATTCAGCTATGTATCAACATTTTTACGGATGAAAGGTGGCTTGGCTACAAAGATAGGATGCTGGAACATTAAGGGTGTAAATTCCAGAAACAGAGCAAGCATGCTTAAGGAAGGATATTTACAAGCAAAAGGAAACTGTGATGGTCCAGTACATCAAATCTGATAAACCCAATACAAAATCTGACAAACCCCATATGAACTAGTAGAAGTAATACCTGAGATCAAGAGAACCTCAAATAGATGAAAAAATTCTATGGAGTATCAAGAATACATGTTAAATATAGTTGATAACAGTCAGAGAAACCAAGGTATAAGTAAGACGCATAGGATTGATAAGTTTGAGATTCATGTTTTTATGGAGAGGTGTCTGCTTATAGCACGATAAACTGAAGTCTGGGCCCAGTGTCAGCATATTAACTTATAACAGTCGACGCATACCAATTTTTTTCATGCTAAGAAATCACTTCCAATGAAAGCTAAGTCCCCCAGCTCTATGAGCTACATTGAAGTCCAAAAGTATAAGATGCAGGAAGAACACTCCAGCATCACAAGAAGACAAGGAAGATAATTAAGTCGCCTTGACCTTGATGCCTTCTAGTGAATTTGTCAGTATTAAAGTCCGGTACTTCGCTTAGTATGCTTGTTTGCCATTCTCAATCTTTGAAAGTCATCATCTAAGTACCTCTCTCTCTCTCTCTCTCTCTCTCTCTCTCTCTCTCTATATATATATATATATATAGAGAGAGAGAGAGAGAGAGAGAGAGAGAAACGTTTATATAGAGCCGAGGCTCTAAACAATGAAATTAGAGCCCACTTCAAATATTTCACTAGAAGAGGTTGCTTTGATGCCCAAATATCCTCAAATTGATCATCTCGACATCAAGATGCATGGACATGAGAAAAAAATGGATTTCAAGTTTTGGAAATAGTGCATCTTGTAACGTATTTTTGGACCGTCAATTTTTAAGATTTTCAAGTTATTATAGATCTGTTCGATTTACACTATTTTTGAAGCTTTAAATTTTTTAATTCATGATGAAAATATATTTTAAGGCTATCGCAAAGATTTCCAGTATTGAAATATTTTTTGACACTATTTGAAGGCATGCTTTATTTTGATTGTTTAGAGCCCTGGTTCTATACAAAGCACACCCATATATATATATATATATATAAATATATATATATGGGTTATGTTAGGGTGCTCACACTATGGAGTAATTTATCATTGTACTCAACAAATTTTGAACACTTCTATACCCTTGCTTTGTACATGAAGCATTTTTTTAACAAGGGTATTTTTGGTCATTAGGAGGGTGTGACATCATCCACATGGGGTGTGACATTACCCACATGGAGTACACTAGTGGAATTTAATATTCCATATGGGTGATGTCACACCTCAGGTGGATGACGTCACATGCCTTCTAATGACCAAAAATACCTTTACTAAAAAAAAGTTCTATCTACAAAACAAGGGTATATAAGTGTCAAAATTTGTTGAGTACAATGATAAATTACTCCATAGCGTGAGCACCCTAACATAACCACATAGATATATATATATATATATATATATATATATAGACAAATAGATAAATAGATAGTAAAAAGCTTTGGATTCCTTGTTTTTTTTGAGGGAAGTGTTAATTAAAAGTTTTGGATTTCAGCACTTGAGAAAAGTGTATTTTGCCAGTTCTTGTAGCTAGGAGTTCTTTAGCTACTATGCCTAAGAATTTCCAAATGATGACAATTTACAGTAGGCAAGGTCTTGAATCTAGGTTATAATTGTTTTAAAAAGCCCTGCTGGAGTACTATATTTCTTCACAATTTTCAACCTACCATTCTGATTGCTCATTACAATAAGAAGATAAAAAAATCCTAGAAAAATTAAAGGATAAAGGAATGTCCACAATACTACACTCACATTTTTTTAACTTTAATGAAGCTAGTAAGGTATCTGAAGACTCTGGACAAACGGGCTTACAAACATGTTGGGACAGTAGCTTTTAATGGCAGAGAAAGAGGAGGTGGGAAGAACCTAGAGTTCTGAAAGCACTTTAGGTTGGTCAAATAGACGACCAAGACTCCTTGCGTAATAGAATGCATCAGCAAAATAATGAAGCCCCATACCTCACGTACAACAACATCAGGAAGAAATTATTGGATTGCCCCAAATATAGGCAAAGTGCTGAAGGAACAGATACACACTACACATATACATGCCCTTCCTACCCCTAAATATAGGCAAAGTGCTGAAGGAACATATACACACTACACATATACATGCCGTTCCTACCCCTCACAAGAGCATTTGGCACATACATACATTTTTTATAGGCAGAATGATATGAATAAGTCCCACTCCATTCCGTATGCTTGAAAGCAATGAAAAGTTATCATTCACAAAGAGAAAAATTATTCTTGGGAATAATTATCATTTACAAACAACAAGGACTACAGCTAATAATAACTCATACTGTGCTATTTCTGCTATAAATTACAGTCTCTCGCCAATAGGTGTAATAAGATCCACAAGAGCAAATACAATAAGGGAGTTGGTACTCACCAAACTTCTGATTTCAATTAAGTAACACTACTAGTAAAATCAAAGCCCCTTAAAACAGGAAAAATAAGGCTCGAAAATTAATTACTTGATAAATATGAAAAAGAGGGAATAGATTTCCTACCCACCACAAATCCCAAAATAAATATAGTTTTCCTTTTTTTTTATAGATACCAGAAGCATAGTTTTAATATAATGCACTTCTTCTAACATGAAATTCTTAGTTTAGTTGTTCCACAAGGAATATATAAGCATGCAAATATGACATATCTCAAAAGACATCACCTCACGATTGACATTGGTAAATTTACACCAACTTGAAGAATAAGCTGCCAGGATAGGCAAATAAAACAAAATAAAATCATACCCCATAGCAAATCTGTCATGGGGCGAAATCTCTCACTTAGCTGACCTAGGCCACGCAAAGCGGAAGTCCCACCCTGAATAAAATCAAGTCATCCTTCCACAAGCCACACAAGAGGAAAGGGCAAAGTCAGATGCATAAGGGTTACCGAAGCACAAGAAATGGACAAAGGGTCATAGCCCACCTTTATTCACTATATACCAGCACGGGTATAAAGCCATAGATCTCTCCCTCTATCTCCAGGGTATGCGCAAGAGGATTGTATAACCCCAAGCACTTACCCACAGTTACAAAGGTCATCAAGGCTTGCACCATATTTTGTACCACCCATCCCGGTGTGGTAGTTACACTAGCCCACTACGTATATATTTAATGCATGCCCAAATGGCTCATTTAAGACGGCATACAAGTCCTCGTCCCCACCCCAAGTGTCTTAATTACCTACATATACCAATGCAAACCTATATGGTCCATTTACAACAGCTTATTACACAATCAATCCAATACACACCCCCACTCTCACATGACCTATGGCCCTTACACAAGACAATGCTCGGGGGTGAATCCACTAAAATCAGAATCAAAGGCTCAAACTTGACCATAAAGGTCAACACACCTGCCAAGCCAGGTGCATGGTCAACTTGCCCCTTGTACATTACATGGCCCAGTCCAGCTGCCCACTGTCCAACAAACCAAGCCTCTACTGAGTTGTCCTTAATCATTCTCGTCTACACGACCTTGCCCAAGGTCTTGCACCAAGCGCCTTTTGCCGCTAGCCCACATTTGGATAGGCCGTGGGCCAATACTGCACTAGCCTTGCCTCCCACTCAGTCAAGACTGAAGGGGCTTCACCTCCCTCGTATAAGTATGTCAGTTTAAACAACTGGCTCATTTGGAAAGAGCGCTAACTCAACAAAAGTAGCACAAGTCTACTCAGGACTGGCAGGTGCCTTGTGATTCGTTCCATTACTAATGGGAACCACGCATCCCATTTCGCCTGCACTCGTGAAGATTGAAGCCAAGGAAAAGGGTCTGGCACCATCCAAATACGAATTGCAGCACCCCTTCCTTTCTTTGGATTGTTTAAACCTTAAACCATCCAAATCATGCGAAAGGAACAATACCGTTCTTAAAAAATAAACTTCTGCAAAATTGTGCAAACTCTTAATTCAAATTTATTTAGCAAATAATCGAATTCTAGGGCCCATTAAAGAAACATATGAAGAAATTCATTTAAAACATTACAACTACAAAGTGTGAGGCAACCAAAAATGAAAAGGAGGTTTCCTATTGCCGGTTTTCACAGTTTTGTTGATTCCAATATCACACTGGTGTAAACTCTGGAAACCCTCTAAACACTGTCCATGATATGGAGCAAAATAAACAAATGATAAGAAAACCCCATCTACCAAAATCATCATACGATTGAGATAATGATGAATACTATGAATTTGAACAAAATCAATTCTATGAATTCCAATAAAATAAGATACAAACTAGCAATCCAAGAAGTCGGTTAAAAGAAAACTTACACCCATCCTTAATATTCTCTTCTCTGAACCGTTTGGGTAAGTGGTCGTAGCTAGCAATTGGAGAAAAAGACCTTCTGAGAGCCTTTCTGTAAGATTGATAGCCATTAATGGAGCTAGGTTGAGAACCCAAAAAGGTACGGAAAGATGGCCCCTTCTTAATAAACCCACTAACCAAAATAGGTTTCTGAGAATATGGGTTTTCCTCTGAAGACGCAGAGAGAGAAGCAACAGTCGTAGAATAAATTACAGAGGCCGAAGCCATCGCAACCGTTGTGGTATAGAGAGAGAGAGTACAGAGAAAGTTTAGGCGAATACAAGAAGAGGTAAGGAGGAAGATATTTGCAATTTAATCTGAAAAGATCCTTGAGCGCGTATCTTGTGCCTCCCCTAGAGCGCCATTGTGCGTCCACGCCTTCCATTTCTTGAGGCATTAGTTTTTGTCTAGAGTTTATTTGAGATTTTTTTTTGACATTATTTTAGGGGTGGTAGAAATCATATCCCCAAATTTTGAGATCTAAATAGTATCCCTAGAATGTATTTTACTTAAAGGAAGTAAATGGGTAGTATACCCGCGAGAGTGAGTAAAGAATCTTTTGGCAAAATCTTTCTTGAAAAAAAAAAATTATATAACACACAATCAAATTAAGGCACACTTTAAAAATTCACTAGAGGGTCTTGTTTTAATATTCAAAAACCCTCAATTCAATTATTTTAACATGAAAACGTAGGGGCGTGAGAAAGAAAAATAGATTTCAAAGTCTTAAAAATGGAACAGCTTGTAATGTATTAATTTAGGCTATCAATTTTTAAGATTTTCAAGTTTTCATAGATTTGGTCGATCTACATTATTTTTGAATCTTTTAGTTTTGTAAATAGAGATTAAAATAAGTTTTTAGGCCATTACAAATATTTTTTATGCTGAAAACAATGTTTTGAAACTATTTGAAGGCATACCTTACTTTGATTGTTTAGGGCCTCAACCTTATACAAACCACCCTATTAAAAATTTGAAATAGCCACAATAAGTATACTATTTTGCCTGTTAGATTCATGTAAATACGAATTGCCATTTTGCACAACGGATTATTTATTAAGAGGCCAATGCTTAGATAGGTCATAATCATCTTTAGCTATGGTTTAAAAGGCATCATATAATTCACATTTAATGATTGATATCGATTATGACTTCTTTATATGAAAAATAAATGATTTTATTGTATAAATTTCTTATTATAATTGAGAAGTTGGAGTTCCAACTATCTAGTGCTCTAATTGGATCTATTTAGCGTGGTTTTTATGCTATCCTATCATGTGGTTTTCGATATCAATTTGGGCAAGGGCATTCTAGATAATTTCCTTTTGGGTTTAATGTTTAAGAGGTTGCATACTAGTGTGGCTGGTTAGCCCGTGATTTTTTACTAATTTTAAATTTCATTATTAATATTAAAAATTGATTTTAAAACCATCATGAAGATTTAAATTGTCGAAAGTGCATTTCGAAAAAGAATTTGATATGAAGTTTTGTTATGTTTCTATAAAGCTTAGGCCTTACAGAAAACTCATCCAAAATAATAACCCGTATGGGATGGTTTTAGGGACAAGATCTAAATGTTAAGCACTCCATATCCCTATCCTTTTAAAATGAACTCCATATCTCTATCCTTTTTGTAGATGATAATTATGGACTCCCTCCCGAAAACACCGATGCTTGATGCCCTCTATCGCTCTTCGAAATACAGTCTCTCTCTATTCTGAAACACACTTTATCTCTATAACTCGTACTGTACGTCTCTGGCATGGATTTAAGCGCAAAAAAGGCCCTTGAGATCTCAACCCTCATGTTTACAACTCCCACCAATCTCAACTGCGGATATCAATGGCTCCTCTCTATGTCTCTAATTCAAGATGCCTTACAAGCCTAAACCAGATTCATATTTTCTTCTCTCTACAAATTCCTTTGCTGGGTTTACATAGAGATGCATAGTCCTTTACGGGGATAACCTTATATGTTAGAGAGAGAATAGCAAAAACTGTCGTAGGCGACCATATTTTAGAAAGAAAGCGTTTAGCGTGTGCTCGAAAACGCCACATCAGCTTGTAAACGTCACATCAGCTTCTTCACTAATTTCGGGCTCTAGTCGGCCCAAAATATTGGCACAGTAGGCTCATGGGTCGTGATAGCCATTATTAGCCCGTCCTTATGATAGCCATTATTAGCCCGTCTTTATGCCCACCTATATGTTGGGTGAATGTGGCTATTAAAATCCTTATGAGTGTTTGTAAAATGAAATGATATAGTGGAATATGAACTCAATGGGAGTGTAGTCTCTCATGGACTATACCAAGCAAATGATGTTTGCTGATACCGATTTAGGCTAATAGGTTGGGAAAAATCTATGTTACCTGGGCATAAAAAATTAATCGATAAGGGTTTTAATGGGTCATCCCTTGATGATGTCGGAGTATGCCCGGATGAGTAAGCGGATAGACTGTGTGACCTTTGTGTGTGATAGTGACCTTCAAAGATAGGAGCCAAGCCTCATCCATGTACCGTCGCAAGGCAATAATGATAAATCGTTTTGAGAAAGCGAACCACCTTTCAAAATGTGCTAGAGATACCTTAGTGCGCTATAGGAGTTGTGGTAGCATCAGGTGTGGGTGACCTTAGCAGGTCTTTAGAGGAGAACCTGAAGTCCACAGACTTGAAATTGCAACCCATTGGCTCAATGATCAAACTTCCGTGACCCACTAATGAGTCCCTGTATAGATTGTGGGTCATGAAAAATACTGGGTCGGTTTGATAAAGCAAGTGTGGTCTGTAATCCTCAGTTAAAGGTGGAGTGCCCCAATGTTTATTGATTTAATTCTTATACCATATAGATCATTTTCTCATCTAATAAATTTAATTTTGATTGTTTTATGGCATATATTATTTTAGATTTATTATTTAACTTTTTTTATAAATCTTTGGATATTTTATATATAAAATTTGGATTTATAAAAATAGAGATATTGATTTTACAATCATTTAAATATTCAAATAAATTATAAAAATGATTTTATTGAAATTTAAAATTATATGGAGGCTCATTGTGTATATGGGCCCATCATGGTTTAGTTAGTGGGGCCCAAGAGATCCCCTCATGGGTGGCACACCCCACCTTTTTTGAAAGTTTACTATTTCCATTATCTTGAGATAAAACAACTTTTGACATGGAAAGCTAGTTGCTATATGTTTTGAAAAGAAATAAGCTTGCGGAAGCTTTAAATGGTTTATTTGGAAAACATGAGAAGGCATTGTTTCGGAAATGAGGATAAGGGTTTCAGTACCTTTCATAATGTTGATGGCCCAGTTATGGAATTGATGGCTCAAATCTCTCACTCCACAAGTCACCCAAGTTCAATGGTTCATGTTCAATCTTACAAAAAAGAGACAAGCCATGAAAAACTCCAAAAAAACCCTAATCATATTCTTACTGTATAAATAGAAGACATCTACCTATGAAATCTCTACACAAAAAATTTATCTTCTCTCTCTCTCTCTCTTTAGTTCCAACCCTAGGGCTTTCTCTCTCTCTCTCTCTAGTTTTTGTGAGGGGCACGCCCCACCTCTTGGGCTCTCTTAAGAAGATGATATCTTAGATTAGGCTTTGAGGGTTTGAAGCTAAGTCTAAAGTCTTGTAATCAAAGAGGAGTTCATAGTTCCATTGGAGGGCTTGACCTAAACTTACTTTCTCGGTTGATATTGAAGGTTCCGCGCTATCATATGGTGGTGACTTGGTGTGGGGTGTAATAAGCCCGGTTGAGATAATCTCAAGCACATCTTTTGTTTCTTGCATATTTGAGATTGAAGGTTGATCATTGATCACGTGCCATCGGATGATGGTGACTTGGCATGGGGTGTAATATGCCCAGTTGATGTAATCTTCGACATATATACCATTCAAAAAACGTGGTAATATCCAGCATATCTTTTATTTATTGTATAATTGAGATTGAATGTTAATCATTGATCCCGGGCCATCGGATGGTGGTGACTCAGCGTGGGGTGTAATAAACCCGGTTGAGGTAATCTCCGGCGTTTATGCCGTTAAAAAAGAGAGGTAATCTCCAACATATCTTTTGTTTTTTGCATATTTGACATTGAATACTGATCATTGATCCCGCGCCAAGGGATGGTGGTGACTTGGCGTGGGGTGTAATAAGTCCGATTGATGTATTCTCCGGCATATCTTTTGTTTATTGTATATTTAATTATACTGTTTTTATATTCCCAAGCACATGAAGTAGTGGTTGTTTTTTTTGTTTAAAAAAAATTGGTTTAGTGGCATCAAGGTTTTAAAATCTTGGTTTTATTTTCTTTAAAGCATGAGTTATTGTAATAAGACTACTTGCAAGTGATCTTTGCCAAAATAAAAGAGGTGAAAAATAAAAATAATAAAAATATACATACCCCGGCAAGATTACTTTGGTCATTCTTTCAGAGCTTACCAAAAATTTCCATGAGGTGATGCCAAAATGTCTTGAAAATGGGATAGAACTGTTTCGATACTCTTAAGGCTGCAATAGGACCAGACAAATTTCTATAAAAGAAATGGTGAAAATGCAAATTGTGGTTTTTTTTTGCAAATTGTGGTTTTTTTGGCCCTTCGGAATCCTCAGTTTTTTTTTTTTGGTAAAGTTTCAATATCTACCGTATCAATCCTAGAATTTGACTCTTACTACATGACACAATTTGAAAATGTACGCCTTTGTCCATTTCCCGCTTTATGTTGTTTTATTCTTCTATTTTGTGAAGTTCCTCATGAATACATAAAAATACAAAATAAACTTCTTAGAATTTTAAATCGAGACCAATGAGGCCGTGGATTCACGTAAAATCGTACGAATGAAAAGGAAATCGCTTTTCAAGAGAATTCATGGTTTGGTTGTGGATTCACATAATTCTTATGGAGTTTATCGCACTATGGTTCCATCCACGCCGTAACTAATTGAGCTTCGAATTTCCATCAAGCATTAACTCAGTGTTTATAATCTGATAAGCTGTCTTCTTTTGGGATCGAATTCTCAAGCATCTTGAGCCTTAGATCAATCGCCATTAAGATTTTAGAGAGAGAAAGTGAGTAATTTTAGAGAAAGAAAGTGAGATGTGCGGAAATATCTCTAAGCAAATGTCCAATGAAGGAACTGGCCTGAATCTGTGACGGCCGTGTTAATACCATGGTTTCTCCCTCTCTTTCTACCCTCTCTCTCGAGGATGATTATGAAATCACAAAAATTGGCACCCCTGGGTCTCTTTAATCCCTCTCAATAACTAATATCTAGGAAAAATTACAAAATTTTTTTTTTAAAATATACTTTTTATGCAACTTACCCAGCTAACTTATTCTCTCTCGTTTTTCTACAAAATAAACTTT